CTTCTAGGATGGCATATAATAGGGATGGGTCGTAAACCAAAAAGAATTTAAATATTCAGCTAAAATAATGGCAGTGGAGACAATGTACTAACTGAAAGTTACTCACTCTGCCAAGGACACAGGCCAGTGTGTGATTTGTTTGTTTTGTGAAAGAGGCCAACATCCATCTGACTTAAGATCCAGAATAGTTTTGGGAAGTGGGCATGAGGGTGGCAAATTCCCATAATTCCAAATTCCTATTGAGGACAACAAACTTCCCTGCCTGGCTACTTCGGAGCATGGCTGATCTTGTTTACCTGTGACTGTCCTAGGCCAAAGAGGAGAGCTGGGCCAAAGACCCCTGTGCCCCGTGAGCCCTGCAACCCAATCCCTCGTGATGGCGAAGATTACTGTGTTTGTTTTTAACAGGTTTGTCTTGCCTATAAAAGCACATCTCTTTTCCCCAGAAGATTTGTTAATCAAGGATTGCAGGCATTAGGAATGAGCTCATTTCTGTAGGGGGCAGAAGAGCTGGGTGCACACGCCCTGGGCTCAGGCTGCCTGGGCTGGAGTTGGCTCTGCAGCCCAACAGTGGTGTGACCCTGGGCCACTTTGCCACCCACCCTAGAAGGTAGCTACTATTATTATTCCCATTTCATATGATAGAGGCTGAGTCATAGGGAAGCTATGTGCCTTACAATTAATTATCTAATATTTGGCACAGAATGAGTGCTCGATAAAAGTTGTTACTGTGTGAGATGTTAGAAGCCAAAATCTGGAAAATGCAGGAGCCGTCTTCCTGAAGGCACGTTCAGTGCCACCTGGAATACAGGTTCTGCTTCTCAGGTGAGCAAGGCTTTCTGTACTGAGGTTCAGGTATTTGGAAGAGATGGGTCCAGCATTCCTCTCTGGGGAACCCAGGAAAGGTTTACACTGTGGTATGGGGTCTGTTCTCGTGCATTTGGTTAGCTCCATAGGTGCCCTACCCTAAACCAAGGATTGGGTTACCACCCACACTAAGCACATTGCCAGAGAGCTCTGCCCTGTTGGCCTTGGAGGTTTATTGGTGGGCCTGGGCAATCGTGGCGATAGTCCTGTTTACTGGCCTCTATAGGCAGTTTGTTCCCTGGCTAAGAGCAGAGCTCCTCCCTGGAGACTGCGGTTGGTCTTCTTTACCACCAGTGCTGATGTGTCCCAAAGGGGAAGACAGCGGGTCCTAATCAAGAAAACCTTTTTTGCCTTTTGCAGGAGTACCCCCATGATAATACCAGGGGAGTCTTCTCATTTTCTCTAGAATTTTTAAAAACAAAGATCTGTGATATATTTCAACTGCTGCATTAAAATATTGTATTATTTTAAAAATAAAATAAAACAGCTTTAGGACAAGAAGTTTGAATGTGCCTAAGATAGGACTTACTCAACGGAGAATTTGTTTCACATGTAAAGATCATTCTGAGTTTCTCTAAGCTCAAGGTCATTGCTGTCTTAAAGTCGTTCCCATCAAGGTTCAATTCCTGTCAGTAGCATAACTTTTTCCTTATATAAAACACTCTCTGCATCCTACTACAGCAGTTTCTGACTAAATGGCAAATTTTATAGGAATAAAAAATATCAACTCAAGTTTCTGGTAACTCAATTTTACAGATCTAATAATTTAAGAGGAAAAAAATAGAATTAAAACAATCAAGACGGAAAGGCAATGTAAAATGTATAACTAAGTGACACAGCGAGGGAGGGAGCTTGGCTCACTCACTATTCCATTCGCATCCCTGCCCCTGGGTTTCCACACTATTTTATTAAAGTCCGATTACTTATATTCTGGTATTTTATGCAAAGAGTCTGATCTGAAAGTTGATTAATGAAACATTGTCCTGTAAGCAAGGAAGGTCTTGCTAAATATAATCTAATAGATAGACAACTTTGATCTCACTTATAGGTGGAATCTAATCAACAAACTAATTTAACAGACAAAATAGAGAGAGATTCATAGATACACAGAACAGACTGACAGCTGGGGGGGGGTTGGGGGTTGCGTGAAAAAAGATGAAGGGATTAAACAAACGATATATATGTGTGTGCGTGTGCATGTGTGTATGACACACAGACAAAGAGGGCAGTGTGGTGACAGAGGGAGAGGGTGGGGGAGGTGGCAGGGGGCAGAGGGGGGACCCGCAGTGGCAGAAGGAGACTTGACTTTGGGTGTGGAGCGCGCGATGCGTGTGCAGATGATGCTTGTTGAGTTGTACACTTGAAACCTGTGCGGTTTTATCAGCCAATGTCACCCCCATAAATTCAATAAAAAGTAAATAAAATAGAGTCTATAATGGCTCTGAGGTTTCTTTGATGGTGCTCTAAACCGCAACAGAGACGAGCGCATCTGCTGGTGTCACTGTAACACGGCGGGGCCGACTTATGTGGCGCTGCTGG